CCGGGTCGTCGGCTGCTGCGCTCGAGCTTTTGGGCTCCATCCTCCCCTCCCGCTGCACTCTCTCGCAGACCCTCTTCGCCTCCTATCTCCCCTACTACTCTGACCACTTTGGTACGCACACTCAGCCCCTCCCAGCCCCGCGTTGCCGTGGTCTCACTGAGTATGCGGCAGTGCTGATGGCGATGGGCAAGTTGGACTCGGAGGCCGACTTCACGCAGCGCGTGCAGCACGACCTCAAGGCCCGCACGGCGCAGGCCGGCCAGGCCTACTGCCTGCTGGCCGACGTGGCCAACCTCCGATGCCAAGTCTTCTGCCAGGGCTCGAGCGCCGCCTCGGCAACGCCGCTTTCGCCACGGCCGGGAGTACCCGCCGGCGGTGCTGGTGCTGGTGGCGCGGTGGTGACCATGAGCGGCCGCACGGCCTGCTCGGACTTTGTCCGCGAGAGCCTGGTCGCCACCGAGGGCCTCTGGAAGGCCGGCCTGCCACCAGAGGGCTGTATCCAGTACCTCGAGGACCGGTAATGCCCTTCACACCCGAGCGCACTCCCTCGACTTCACATCATTGACCGGTGTCGTGTTGGTCGTGTCGTGTCGTTGGTCGTGTCGTGTCGTGAGCGCAGACTACAGCAGTTGCTGGACCTGAGCCGCATGTTAGGCGAGTACCTGGGGACGCTGCCGGTGCCGCAGGCGGGCCAGGCGGGCACGACGCTGGCTGAAGCCGCGAGCCGGCTCGGGCTGACGTTCCCCGACGCCAATCTCCTCCTGTCGCTCACCCTCGCCACCGCCCCGACCTCCCTGCGCTCCTACCCGCTCGCCGCCGACGGCGTCAACCTGCCCACCCTCGTCCACCACCCATCATGACCACCATAACCAGGTCTCAGATGCGTGCCTGCAATTTGCAAGCCTGCTCAACACGCGTGAAGGCACTCGATCCCCAGAAGAAGTCCCAACCAAGGATTCATTGGCGCAGTGGCTGGGGGTCAACAAGGAGGGGATTGTACAGGAGTGAGTAAAGCAGATCTGCTTGAAATAAATGCCTCACAGAGCGCTGGACTCGGCCTCCTCCAGCACGAAGTTGACCTGGCCGATCCGAAGACCCTTGTTGATCTGTCGCGTCTTGTAGGCCGAGATCGCCTTGGACAAGGCGATGGCCGCCAGCACGCCCACCAGCAGCAGCACAACTCCTCCTGTTGCCGCCGCCACGAACGAGTTGTGGTCAGACATGTATTGTGTGTCGTGTGTGTCGTGTGTGTCGTCGCCTGCAAGAGCAGTACCTCCAAGCGCGCCGCCGACCGCTGCGTAGGTCGCTGAGTCGTCACCAGTGGAACCGCTGCGCTGTTCGCTCCTGGAGCAGTCCGGTCCGCCCCAGTAGGGCATGCACTCGCACACCGGCGGGTTGGTCGAGTCGCTGCACTTCCCGTTGCCCGAGCAGCCGTTCGGACAGATCGCTGTGTTGTGTGTCGTCGTCGCACGCGCGGGTGAGTTCGTGGTACACACTCATACACCACATCGTGCAGGGCTAAGGTGGTTGGTACGAGTAGCGCAGTCGGGGCCGGTCCAATTG